TGACTGTTTTTTTTTTTGCGAAACTGTGCTAATCGTAGAGTAGCTAATCAGAAACAAACATGGCAAACGATGCCCAAATCCACTCTAATTTAAAAAATAATATTGTTTTGTGTCACAGTGTAACGGGACCGACGAGACGTGGGGCGTGAGGATCCATGTGCAAGCTTTTATTAAGAGACGTGGTTTTAACAGGCATGGGTCAGACAATGGCAAACGGGTATATCGAAGGCAAGGCAAGAGATAAATCCAGGTAGAAGGCAAAGGTCCAAGCAGGGGCAAACAGAGTCAGAAACAGCAAGCAAAGGGTTAATCCAAGAGACGTGGCGTGAATCAGAGACCAGGAAAACAGACAAGGCAAGACTAAGACTAGACTAAGAAAACTATGAAAACTTAAACAGGCACGGTAAGGTAGCTTTCCGCTAAACAGGGATACACGCAAAACAATACACGAGACTAAAACAGAAAACACGGAATGGCTCAGTAAGGCAGCTAACACTTGGGGAGTGAAAAATGCAGAACAATACTCGGCAGTGAGAGAGAGGAAGTCCATGGCTTATGTAGCATGTCTGATTGGATTCAGCTGTGTGTGTGTGTGTGATCAGTGCATTCAGCTGTGTGCGTGTAATCAGTGCAATGGTTGATGGGAAATGCAGTCCAGGGTGATGTGTAACAGTCTGTGTGGTGTGAGAGTCAATGTAATGGGAGAATAACCTCTAGTGGCAATCGGCCTGAAGCCCACGGAGCGGATCCGTGACAACAGGAATAACAATTATTGTAAATTTCACAATAAATTCCATAATTTTTCATGTATTTTTGTTATCGAATACCAGTAAATCTTACCAACCCCAAACTTTTGAACAGTGTAAGTATACATATACATATACATATACATGTCCTGTTTAAGGCCTTCTGGCACAAAAAAGGGGAAATTACATTTCCCATTAACAACAACAATCCCAGGGAAACATCAATTTCCCATTAGAGATGCCAGGACAAATCGAATGCTTAACAAGGAATCAATTAAATCAATGACAGGATTAATAACTACGGAGCCCCTAAAGTGACATGTTTCAAATCTTTCGCGCTCCCTTGCAAAACTTTTGCATTCCCCCGAGAAACTTTGCATTTGCCTTTTATTTATAATGTTTTTTTCTACAGAGGGAGAACACACATGAAACTTTGCGCGTTCCGTTCATATTCTGGTCTCATCTGCTTTGCTGTGCGTAATATATTTTATTTATAAACTGCATAACAGATTTTATATTTTTTGTCCATTACCTTAAGCATTTTCTTTATAATGGTTTTATGGTAGGAAACATTTAACATGCAGTTCAGTGCATTGCGTTCATATTGTGGGTTCATCTGTTTGCCTGTATATAGTATATAGTTCTTAATAAACTGTATAAACTATGTAGTGACCAGGAAGCTTAAAAGCACGTGCGGTGAAACCGGAGTCAGCTTTTTCTCATTCAGCAAGCGCTCTGCGTGTGTGTCTGTCTGATATTCGTTTGTGAGTCTTATTTGGTGGTGTTTGTCCAAATAATGTCAAAAGCACAAGACAAAAAGAAGCACCTAAGCAAGGGTGAGGGCAGGCAGCGTTTCAGGCTGTGTGTTCCTCCCTGCCCGCGTTACATTACGGGTGGGGATACACACAGTTTGTGTGTTGTCTGCCTGGGAGCGGAGCATGCTGAGTCGGATCTCTCAAGAGCTGACTGACCTCTTTCTCTCCGCTTCTGATTATTACAGCAATGTGGTGGGGATGAGTGAGCGCGGTTATAAGACACCGCCGCGTCGGGAGACAGATAGCTCGCGAGCGTCTTATAACCGCTTAAAGGTATCGTCTTAAAGGCTCCGGCATTGCCCTCCAATGGCTCCTCATACAGGGAGACACAAAAACAGAGCGTCGCCTCACGTGCTCCCCCGCGTCGGGGCCGTGAGTCGCTCTGGGTCGGGGGCCTCGAAGTCTAAGCCGGATCTGCGGACCGTACTTAAGACTAAGAGATCCTCGGCCAAGAAATCCTGACGCCACTGGCCCAGGACTCATGAGGGCAGGCCCTTCTGGTGTGGAGCGGGTTACACCGCATTACACGGTGTCCGTCTCACCTCAGTGCCCTCAGGAGATCAGTCTGCTAACCCTGCCGGAGTTACAGGGCGCAGCGGTCTCCCGCGAGCGCCACTCTCAGTCACCGCCCGGGAACGTAGCGGTGCTAAGAGGCTCGCCACCTCCGCGGAGGTCTCTAGAGCAGCTGGTTCGGTCGTCCCCTGCCGGTCCGCTGTTATAGGGCACCGAGCTAACTGCTCTCATTACACCAGAGGTCAGTCTCGAGAGACTGATTCCCTTAGTAGACTTTTTGGAAACGTGGAAACCACTGCTAAATGTGTCTCAGTGGGTCCTGCACACTGTAGAGAGAGGCTACAGAATCCAGTTTGGTTCTCCTTCGCCTCGTTTCAAAGGGATTACTCTCACGCTTGTGGGCCCCGAGCAGACTCTGGTCATGGAACAGGAAGTAGACACTCTCTTGAAGAAGGAGGCCATTGAGGTGGTCCCTCCTCACGAAAGAGAGTCCGGGTTCTACAGACGGTACTTCATAGTTCCAAAGAAGGATGAAGGGTTGCGTCCCATTTTAGATCTGCGTCAGTTGAACCGTTCAGTCATGCGACTGAAGTTCAGGATGCTCACACTCAAACAGGCCATGTCTCAGATCAGGTCCGAGGACTGGTTTGTCACGATCGATCTGAAAGACGCATACTTCCATGTATGGCTCTGGTAATGGAACAAGAAGTAGATACTCTCTT